GTTGGGTGCGGTGCCTGTACAATTCAGCTGAGCAGCTGGATGAAGAGAGGAAGGAGATGTGACTCTGCATGTGGACTTGTCCGGGGGCAGGGCTCGGGACAAGCAGTGCAGCCCCATCCACCCCTCTTCTCAGGCCACCATGGGGTGCGGACCTCCAGGAGTAGGGTGGGAAAAGCACCCTATTCCAGAATCCAGGTTAAAGCTGTTGGAAGTGTGCTGCTTTCCCCACCAGCTGAGTTTGGATGTTTTAAAATAGTAGCGGGCTGTTTCCGATCCCTCCTGAAAGGAGCAGCTGGTCTCTGGGTGAATTTGTCTTGATGAGCTTCGGGTTTGAAATCAGGGTGATTCTTGATTGGCCAGAGATGGTAGAAGCCAGCTGCCTTGTGGGCCCAGAGGCCTGGGTAACACAAAGCCCCTTGTGGCCCAAACATGCGACCTACTTGGTGTATTCCTTTCGGGCAGGTCTCATCTACATTTGTAGAAAACTAGCCCCCAAGATGTGACTGACCTCTCTTTTCCTGCGCCAGTAGGGTTCATTCATTCATTCATTGAAAAATGACTTGACAGTGACAGTGTTTGTTGCTCAGTTGTGCCTGACTCTTTGTGACCCCATACTGTAGCCCGCCAGGCTCCGCTGTCCATGGGATTCTCCAGGCAAGAATACAGGAGTGGGTTGCCATTTCCTCCTCCAGGGGATCTTCCTTTCTTTTCCTGGGCCAGGAGGGTTTGTTCATTCATTCAAAAATGATTTACTGAGCACTTATTATGTGCCAAGTGCTGAGCATTATAATGAAGTTTCTTTTGGCAGTTTTTCTGGAACCTGCAGAATATAATACAGGCCTGCCTTCTGCTTGGGTGGGCTGGAGGAACACCCTACCACAACACTGAGCTGATGGGATTATTCTCACACTGAGTGTTAGAGGCAATGATGGAGGCTTCTGGATGTGGAAGAATAGTGGGAGCCATTCAGTTTGTTCAATTTGTTCAGGTGGTTGAATGAGGGTGGGGATTATTTTTTTTGTTTTGTTTTCATTTTGACTTCCTTTATCATCTGTGTAACTTCATAAACAGATATAGTTCTCCAGGAAGCACCAGTAAGGCACTGGGGACTTGTAACCTTGAGGAAAAGACTTGGGTGCATGTCTGCCTCAGACACCCCAAGTGCCGTCCTATGGCTTCATCTGGCATCGCTTCAGACTTCAGCATAAGTAGCCTCAGCATCACCTGGGAACCTGCTAGAAAATACAGGTTCTTGGCCCCACCCCAGAACCGGGATCGCCAGTGAGGGTGGGGGGCCTGGAATCTGTGTTTTGACAAGCCCTCTATCTAGGTGATTCTGTTTCAGATTCAAATTTGAGAACCACTGCTTTTGCTTAAATCAGGAGGTCTAGGGTGGGGGCTCGAGGCTCTGCACTTCCAACAAGCTCCTAGATGATGTGATGTGGGGTGGACCACACCTTAGTACCAGGTTGTACAAGACAGCATGATGTGATGTGAGGGTATGGGCTGCAGCAGTGCTTCCTCAATCTCTATAGTCTTTAAAAGATGGGATTTGGGTGCATCTGAACAACAAAACACCATGGTGCTGCTAAAAAGGGATGAAATCAGGCTGTAAACACTACCATGGTAAAATCTCCAGGACTATTTACTTATTTTTATTTTTTACTGAAGTATAGTTGTTTTATAACATTGTATGAATTTCTGTTGTATAGCAAAGTGATTTAGTTATACATATATATTTGGGGGGGGGGGGGGGCTTCCCTGGTGGCCCACATGGTAAAGAATTTGCCTGCATTGCAGGAGTCCTGGGTTCAATCCCTGGGTTGGGAAGATCCCCTGGAGAAAGAAATGGCAACCTACTCCAGTATTCTTGCCTAGAGAATCCCATGGACAGAGGAGCCTAATGGAGTCAGTTGTATCTGACTTGCAAAGAGTCAGATACAACTGAGTGACTTTCACTATATGTTCCTTTTTTTAAAATATTCTTTTCCATTATGGTTTATCACAACATATTGAATATAGTTCACTGTACTGTATAGTAGGACTTTGTTGTTTATCCATTCTATATATAATAGTTTATGTCTGCTAATCCCAAACTCCCACTCAATCCCTCCCCCAACCCCCTCCCCCTTGGCAGCCACCAGTCTGTTCTGTCTGTGCTTCTGTTTCATAGATAGGTTCACTTGTGTCATATTTTAGATTCCACATATAAGTGATATCATATGATATTTGTCTTTGTCTGACTTACTTCACTTACTGTGAACATCTCTAGTTGCATCCATGTTGCTGCAAATGACATTCATTATTTCATTCTTTTTAACAGCTGAGTAGTATTCCATTGTATATATGTACCACATCTTTAGCCATTCATCTGTTGATGGACATTTAGGTTGCTTCCATATCTTGACTGTTGTAAATAGTGCTGTTGTGAACATTGGGGTGCATGAATTTTTCTGAATTATAGTTTTCTCTGGATATATGCCCCGGGGGTGGGATTGCTGGGTCATATGGTAACTCTATTTTAGTTTTTTGAGGAACCTCCGTACTGTTCTCCATAGTGACTGCACCAACTTACATTCCCACCATCAGTGTAGGAGGGTTCCCTTTTCTCCACACCCTCTGTAGCATTTATTTGTTGACTTTTTAATGATTGCCATTCTGACTAGTACCCTAGGAATATTGTTAGGCAAAAAAAAAGTAGATTTTGAAGATATCTTTTAATAGTGTGCTTCCATTAAAGCTAAGATAGTAAAATCGTAATAAATTTCATTGTTGTATAAATCAAAAAAGCATTTTAGAGTGTGAATTTTAATTTTCACTATTTTTTCAGCAACTTAAACAATTTTTTCTTTTTTTGGCTGCACCACAGGGGCATGCAGGATCCTAGTTCCCCTACCTGAGATCAAACCCATGTCCCCTGTGGTGGAAGTGTGAGTCCTAACCACTGTACCACCCAGGAAGTCCTTGAAAATACTTATCTTGATTGATGGTTTTGCATACTCTTTTTTTTTTTCCCGTACTCTTAAATTTTGAGCCTAAAGCTTTGGGGATTCCTGTGGGAAGTGGTCTTTCTGGCCACCAGGCCCTGAGATGGTCTTAACTACTCACAGCCTCCTCTCTGCTCCATGGACCTCTCTGGACTTCCAGAAGCCCCATCTCACCCAGTGGGGTACCCATGGGGGCGTGGGGGTGACTGTCATTTGATTGCTGAGCTTCTTGCTCTGTGTGGTACCTGTGGCCTCTCCAGCCAGGAGGCAGGCCCCACTGATAGTAGACCAGATTTAAAGTCAGCATGAGATCTAGGTTGGAGATGCTTTCCTGACTGTAGCTAATGTCATCCGTGCTCTGCCTCTGCCCCTGTCCCTTGCCACTTCTGAGCACATCTGTCGACGTCGAAGCTGACCACTGAGGGTGTTCTTGCTGGAGGCCCCCCACCCCCACCTCCCGGCAGGTGGGATCTGGTGTGGAGAGAGCGCCCCACCCCCAAGGGCGCTCTCCAGGGTGCTGCCTAAGCAGAGGGACAAAGACCCCAGCTCCCGAGGGGCAGGGTGACTCAGAGGTGTGTGTTCTCCTCTGTCCCCTACCTTGCCTGACCAGTGGGACCCTGGTTGCCCACTGACTGGGTGACACCCCCCCCCACCAACCTTGTCATCTTCTCCCTCTCCTGAAGGTGGGGAGTCACCTCACACTGTTCCTGGGGTCTCCCTTCCTAGAGGCACCTTCCAAATACCTCCTTTTCCAGGAAAACCCAAACTAAAATAAAATCACGGTTTACTCTGCCCACTCTGAAACCCAAACATTAAGGCAGGCAAGTGAGAAGATTAGAGTACCTCCTCTTAAAGCCAGGTGGTAGAGTTTTGCTGTTTGCGTCTGTTTTTATTATGTTTGCTCTGTGGACAATTTTGTCTCCTGCCTTAACCATTTTCCTCATATTCTTCATCCTTGGTTATGGTGATTTTTTTTTTCTCCCTATTTCCCCAACCCAGGAGCCTCAGATAAGTATGTTTCTCTTGTTTCTCTGGGGAGTTGGACTTTACTGCATCTAAGGGATACCACACACCATCTGTCTTCCTCTGTATAGCTCATCTCACTGAACATAATGTCCTCAAGGTCCATCCACATTGTTGCAAATGGCAGGATTTCCTCCTTTGTCCTGGCTGAATGATACTCCATTGTAGATATGTACCACATCTCCTTTATCCATTCATTTGTTGAGGGGTCTTAGGTTGTTTCCATGTCTTGGCTGTTGTGAATAAAGCTACAGTGAACAGGGATGTGGAGATAGCTTTCTGAGATCCTGTTTTCATTTTCTTTGGATAAATACAGATAGTGGGACTCCTGGATCATATGGAAGGTCTGTCTTTAACTTTTCAAGGAACCTCCACCCTGTTCTCCACAGTGGCTGCACCAATTTACATTCCCACCAACAGTGCATGAGGGTACCCTTTTCTCCACACCTTCTCCAGCATTTACCTCTTGTCTTGTTGATAATAGACATTCTGACAGGTGTGAGGTGATTTCTCCTACCTTGTTCAATTGCTAAGTCATGTCTGACTCTTTGGGACCCCACGGACTGCAGCATGCCAGCCTCCTCTGTCCTCCACTATCTCCTAGAGTTCGCTCAAACTCATATCCTTTGAGTTGGTGATGCTGTCTAACCATCTCATCCTCTGCGACCCTCTTCTCCTTTTGCCTTCAATCTTTCCCAGCATCAGGGTCTTTTCCAATGAGTTGGCTCTCCTACCTGCGTGGTGGCAATTTGCACTTTTCTGATGACTGGTGATGCTGGGCATCTTCCCTTGTGTCTCTCAGCCCTTCATATGTCTTCTTTGGAAAAATGCCTATTCAGTTCCTTTGCATGTTTTTTGAATTGGATCATGTGGGTTTTTTTTTTTTTTTTGCCATTGTGTTGTATGGGATGACTTTTAATGGCCTCATAGGTGGGAAGCTCTGGCTTGGCCTTGACCCGCTGGTTCTGTGTCTGCCCCTCGCCCCTGCAGGCATTCGCCCCTACAAGTGTGATGTCTGCCACAAAGCCTTCACCCAGCGCTGCTCCTTGGAGTCCCACCTGAAGAAGATCCATGGGGTGCAGCAGCAATATGCCTATAAGCAGCGCCGGGATAAGCTGTACGTCTGTGAGGACTGCGGCTACACGGGCCCCACCCAGGAGGACCTGTACCTGCACGTGAATGGTGCCCACCCGGGCAGTGCGTTCCTCAAAAAGACATCCAAGAAACTTGCAGCTCTCTTGCAAAACAAGCTGACGTCCTCGCTCCAGGGAAACGCCAACCTGAGCGAGGAGGAAGAGAAGTAGGAGAGGGGTGTGGATGCCAACTCTGCCACATGTCCATGGATTCCTGGTCTTGCAGGTTCCCTGCCCCATGTGCTATTCCAGAGTCCAAGTGGTCCGTTCATCTCTGTCCTTGGGGCCTCACTGGGGGCTCCATGCCAACACTGTCGATAACAGTGGCATCAGGCCCCTGTCACCTGGGCCCTCAGGAACGCTATCACACTAATGGAAGCTAGTGGAGGGCTGTGATCACCGTCTGGGTCTAGTTTTCGTTTTTTGTTTTGTGTTTAGGATTTTCACACATGGAGGCAGGGGTGTTCTGAGAGAAACACCCTTGGAGAGATTGATATGGTGCCTTGAAATAAAAGTACTTCCACTTGAAATGCTACTCCAGCAAGGAAAACGAATTCTGTTATTCTGAAAGCATTGGCCAGAATTATTCTAATAAAGGGAACATCCTTGTGGAATTATCCAGCTCAGAATGCAACAGGAGAGTGCTGACCTGGTGCTCCCTGTCCAGGGCTTATCGCGGGACCTTTGGCTTCAGGTTGTTTGGGTGTGAGTGTTTTGTACTAGTGGGTGGGTTTGAAGAAGCGAATCTTGAGCACTGGGTAAAGGTAAACACATGGCTGGTGAGCTGGGCAGAGGCTCTGGGCTCGGCTTGGATGGGCTCTCAGACACTCTTAGTGGCCAAGCATCCTGTGGAGATGCTCTAGCCTCCTGGGACAGGCCAGCTGGCTGAAGGCCGTCTTCCACCCTCCTTGAGTCTGGCACTGGGGCCAAGGCTGGAGCATGAGGAGCCCCGGAGCATACTCAGTGCCCTTGAGTGGTGGTGGTGTGGGGACGACGGGGGCATCAGTATCTCCTTCAGGGCCTGTGAGTGCTGAGCGGAGTGACCTTTGGCCACCTGCACCTCCTCACCTGGGACATTAGCAATAAAGTTGGCCGGGACTGAGATGGAGCAAAAGGGAAACTGGGGTGGGAGGAGGGGGTGTGGGGTGGTTTCCAGGGTTCGCCCCATGCCTGGAGGGGTGGGAGGAAGGATCTGGATCTCCCCAGAGCCACAGTGGCCAGGAAAGTTTTACCCCAGTCCCAGGAGCTGCCAGAACCAGTCAGGAGGTCTGATCCACAGCACCTCGCTGGACTTCGCTGCCCCTTGGCCCCTGGGCGCTGGCCGAGTGCACAGGTTCAATCCCCTTCTGGAAAGTTAAGAAAACCTTGGCTTTGGGGCTAGTCTGGGAACGTTCCGATGACGTGGCCGTTTTCTTCTTGCCTCCCTGCCCGCATCGTCCTCCCCCTCTTCCCTCCCCCGTCACTTCCACCTTCTCTCCCCAACTCCCTCCCCCTGCCCCCAACACTGTGGTCAGGCCTCAGGCTGCAGTCTGGTTTAAGTGGTACATCCTATAACTCAACAGTTCTCTGTGGAGTCAGCAGCACTTTTCTTCAGAAGGAAGGAAGGAGGAAATAAATTCTCTTTTCACACCTATGATGCACCAGGCACCAAGCCAAGCATGATGTTCTCTGGTCGCTCTTGTAGGGTCAGCATCTCTGTGCCTGGAGCTGCGGCTGGAACTGGCCGCTGGAGGAAGGGTCCAGGGATCCTAAATCTGGTCAGAACTCCTTTACCCCCACCTCTCCCCACCCTCCCTTCAGAAAGGAAAGACAAGGCCTCAGGTTCAACGTTGGCTGCACCTGAGGCTGGTGTGAGACAAAGGCAGGCTTTGGGGAATCCTCACCACCTGTGTCACCTGCCCTGGGGCAGTGACGAAGGGCAAGACAGCACTGTGCAGCCACATGTGTCTGAAGCTCTGGCTATTTGGGCCAGAGCGGTGGTGCCATGTGGTCTGAATAGTACATTCAAGCATCAGCTGTGGCAGGGTTGCCCTTGGGACCCATGGTGACACGTGGGGTGGGGTGGGTGGTTGCTGGGTGCAGTCTCCTGGGACAGAATCAGTGCTGAGGGCTCAACCCTGGCTCCAGTGGGTGAGTGGTGTTGAGTCTCAGCACTTGACGCAGGAGAGAGAAGCTGGGAGGCAGCTGGTTCTTTTTCCTCAGTTATCTGACATTCCTGTAAGGGAATACCTAAGTGACTCTGTCTGGACCAACTGCCCTGTGGCCGGTTTTGCACAGAGAATTGTGAACTAGCTGACATGGTGTTCTCTTTAGGGTCAGATTTTTATTAAACAGAACTCTTCTGGTTGCAAGTGACAGAAAATCAATTTAAAATGACTTTAATGGACAAAAAGAATGTATTAGCTGTAACGTCTGGGGTTTTTCCAGCTTCAGGGTGGCTGGGCCTAGGTGCTTAAATCATTTGATCCTGTATCTTTTTTTCTTTTAACCAGTTTTCCTCCAGGTGGCTTCTTTCTCAAGCAAGTTCAAATGGGAGCTGGATGACCATCCACTGTTCCAGACGGGGCTTTATCCTGGGCTGATGCTTCTTGTCTCTGACTGGCCCAGTTTCTCTCTCATCACTGTCTCCCCTTGACCCCAGCCAATCATGTGCTCTGTGCCCAGGCCTGAGCCAGGGCTCCTGCCTCCTCTGAAGCAGGGCTGAGAGGGCAGCTGACTACACCTCTGGCCTTGGAGAGGTCTGGGTGGGTCTCCAGCAGGAAAGCAGGGTTCTTTGACCAGAAAGGACATGGATATTGGGCAGGTGTACCAGCTAAGACAGGGCACAGCTGTGGGAACCAAGATTCCCAGCACGTGATGTGGCTTAAAGCAGGATGTCTCCTCCTCCCCTGGTGGCTCTGGGTTGGCAGGTAGCTCACCTCCATGCCATTACTCAGGGACCCAGACTTCCCATGTCTGTCGCTCTAGGACCTTGTCAATATGTGCTTGGTTGGAGCTGAGCCTCTGGGTTTAGGGCAGTAAGAGAATTGTCATGTTTTGGTTTCCTCCAGAAGCTGCTTCTGAGGTGAGAATTCAAGGTCAAGTTGCTGGCTTGGGAGGTGATCCCAGGAAAGAACAGATGTAGGGTGTTGGGCTGTGGGACAGGAGAAGGAAGACAATACAGGGACCGTAACTAGGGAAGTTGGGCTTCCCCAGGTGCCACAGTGGCAAAGAATCTGCCTGCCAATGCAGGGGATGCGGGTTCAATCCCTGAGTTGAAGATTCCCTAGAGAAGGAAAATGGCAACCCACTCCAATACTCTTGCCTGGGAAATCCCCTGGACAGAGGAGCCTGATGGGCTACAGTCCATGGGGTCGCAAAGAGGGGGACGTGACTTAGCAACTGAGCATGCACACACAAGTACAACCAGGAAAGTTACTGGTGTCCCAGCGGGGGGTCTCTGGGAGGCAGTTGCCCCCAGGAGGGGCACAGCAAGCCATTGTCCACTGGCTCCGCATGGCTGGGGTTTGGTTGAGGATGCTGGCATGGGCAGCATCATGGGAGCATGGGAGCATTCATTTCTGGGCCTTTCCATCTTGCCCTGTGCACTGACCAGGCATGGCTCAAGTGCCAAGAAAACCCTCAGGCAGAGCCCGAGGGCTTGGCTGTGAGCAATGTTAATACACCACGTACAGCAAATGCTGAGGGGACATGGATGGGGAGGCACTGGGTCTGGTTCAGGGGTGGACAGGTCCCACCCACCCTCTGAACCGGCTGGCCAGAAATGGCACCTAGCCCTTTCAGTCACATTCCAGGGTGAAGACTTTGCCATGTTACGGAGGACTGGGGAGGGAACACAGGTTCTCAGCCATGGGCTCTTGTAGGCCAGGGCAGAGGGGACAGATGATGGGAGCAGCTTGCAGACTCTGCCGCGGCAGGCAAAACCAGCTGACAACCACCCCCAGCCTCTGTCCCCTCCTCCCACCCGTCTGCTTGTCCTGCTCTCAGCCAGTTGTCAGGAAATCCTGCTACAGCATCCAGGATCAGGATTTAGGGCACTGGTTCTCAGGTTTTCAGCCCTGGAAACTTAAGTCCATAGTGGTGAGGATGAACATGGATGAACTGTTGTCAGTATCTTCTGCCCTCATTAGAATCCATCCATTAACCTGTACGAAGTCAGGCTAGGTCAGGAAGGTCTTTGCTATTGGTTGATCTTCGGTTAGCACCGAGAATGGAAACGAATTCTTGTGCTCCTCAGAAGTGCCTCCTGGCGGTTTGTTTTGGAAAGAGGGATCTGTTATCACCCATGTGCTGTATGTACTTGATGTCCTAGGTTGGGTTCCTTGAAGCGGAGCCTGAGACCGGGAATCGAGGGCATGTGGTTTGCTGGGGTAGGCTCTCAAGAGAAACCGGGAAGGAGGTGAGGGATGCCAGGTACAACGGAGAGAAACCAGGGGAGGATGTGGGTGCGGCTGGAGTCTAGCCGCGGCATGATCTCAGGAGCCTCTCTCCTAGAGGCCGAGGGAGGCTGTTGGCTGTGGGTTATCCCTGGGAGGTGGCGGGGAGGCAGGACCATCCGGCTGTTAAGCAGCCAACGCTCTTGGAATCCAGGGGTGGTTCACATGGCGGTTTCCAAGGTGAGGGAGGGAGAGATCATAGGAATGGATTCTTAGCTGTGAAACCAACTGAGGTCCAATATTTACGTTTTGATAAGGGACCTCTTTTGGAGCTAAAGGAGTGAATCACTTATTGCAAATTATCTTGTGTTTGGGATAGAAATAAAAAATAGTTTCAAATGTATGCAAAGACAAGTCCTTTCCTCACACATGTCTCTCATCTGCCAAGCCTCTCTACCATCCATCATAATCAACCACTGTTAGCTTCTTGGGAAACTTCTGGAGTTTCTTTACTCGTATAGAAGCAAATATGAACATATGTGTCCTTGTTCTCTACTGTTTTTTTTTTTCCTACTGTTGTTTTTTAAAATTAACATATAGCATCATGCATACTCTTTGGAACCCTGCATTTTTCTTTTTTTCTTTATTTTTTATTGAAGTATAGTTAAATTACAGTGTTGTATTAATTTCTGGTGTACAGCAAAGTGATTTACTTACACTATACATATTCTTTTCGTATTCTTTTCCATTACAGTTTATTAAAAGATTGAATATAGTAACCCGTGCTATATAGTAGGACCTTGTTGTTTCTGTTTTATATATAATAGTTTGTATCTGCTAATCCCAAACTCCTAATCTAGCCCTCTCCCCACCCCTATACTTTTCTTTTAATAATATATCTCATAGCTCTTACTGTAATAGTACAAAAAAGAAACCTCATTCTCCTTTATAGCTACCTGCTATTGTATCTTGTGGATATACCATTAACTTCTACTGATGGGCATTTATGTTGTTTCCAATATTTTGCTACTATGACGAATGCTACAGTGAGTAACTTTGTACATTTGTCATTTCACATACGTGCAGACATATCTGTAGGGTAAATTCCCAGAAATGCAATTGTTAGGGCTAAGGATAGATCCTCCATAACACTGATCAATATGGCCCAATTCCCCAACACAGAGATATACCGATTTGATTAGCAGTCTCACAAACCAAGTGTAAGATTGTCCTCTCCC